CTAATCACAAATAGCTCATATTGAGTAGGAATTCCCTGAATGGATATGACGACACATCACATTTAATTTACATCTTATCTCTGTTCTGTTAGAGGGGGCAATGGTCCCGATAGGCAAAAAGGAGTACAAACCACAATACATTTTTATTACTGTTAGCATTTTTACTGCCTACTCTATGCCCACGGGTTATTAAGTATTTTGCATATTAAATGTAGTCTTCCCAGCAGCTTATGAAATGGGCATGAAACTGAAGTGCAGAAAACTCAGCTATGACAATAAGAAACGAACAGCCTCATTTGGAAGTCATGTTCTTTCAATGCTCCCTAAAAAGAGGCAGGAATTAATAGTGGTGGCTTGTACGAAGTCAGCAAGCAGTTCAAGGGGAACCAAGAAGGCAACTTTTGTTGCTGAAGTTCCTGAGGGTAGAGGGATTAGGGCTCCTGGGAAGGGAGATTTTCTAAGGTGGGGGCTGAAGTGGTGACAAGTGGATGGTGTTGACAGAAACAGGTGGGTATAGGTGTGGGCAGAGCAGGATGGGGCTGGTGAAGGAGCAGGTGATAAGAGGAGGAGGTGAGGCAGCACCGAATGCTCCAGGCCACAGCCCTGCCCTGTCACCTCTATGAGAAAACTTGGTGAGTTCCTTGATGGCTCCGTGCCTCAGTTTCTCCATCTGTAAAATAGGCAGGGGTTTTTACTACTTCCCTCCTGGGCTTGTTGGAAAAGCTCAGGAGGCATTCAGTGAGTGTTTAAAAATGTCAGGGAAGAAAAGTAGAGGGTTTGCATTGGGAAAAGCAAGTTTGCAAAACAGAGTGAAGGAAGCAAAACGCTGTACTGGGAGGTGGGGCAGGCACAGGCTCAATCACTCCTTGAACACACGAGTGCAATCTCTACACATAGGCCCCTGCTGGGGACCTTGGGGACACCACAGGAGACAGTCTGCTATAATCTGGATGGTAGCTAAGAAACACACACACACATTTCCAAGAAAGATGAAAATAAGATGTAGCCATAGGGTGGAGAGGAAATAAGATCTGGACACAGGAGCCCGGGTGAGGCACAGCTCCTCAGGTTGGCTGTGGGAAAGCTTCCTATGAAAGCCCTGACCTGCTGAGGGCTGAGATTTGGAAAGAATCCTTGACGGGGCGGGGCGTCTTCAGTGGGCATCAGAATCACCTGAGGGAACTGGTGGAAATGGGGATTTCTAGCCCCCCCCCCAGAGACAAAGCAGGTTTGGGTGTGTCCCACTCATAGAGGATGTGGGTGGAACTTGGTGTTGGTCTGCACAGAAGCACATGTGTGCTTGAGGGCTGCTGCAGAGACTGCGGGGGGAGGCAGGAGATGGGTCAGGGCGGGGGCTGGAGGGGGAGAGCTGGGGCCATGTTCTGGGACTCGGGAGGACAGGAGGAAGATGATAGTAGTGTCAGAAAGCAGGTGTCTGTAGGAAGTTGGAAGTGATATCCAAGCATGGCCCAGTGGTCAGGATGGTGGACAATGGTTTCTGTGGGGTCGAATGTGCAGAGGGGTGGATAAAGCCTCAGGTGAGGTCCCTGATGGAGAGGACGGGTTGGGGGAAAAACAGTACAATGTCCCACTGAGAGGGGCCACAAGGGAGTGAGCCAAAGGAAGCGCCCAGAAGGCGAGGGAGGAGAGGATTTCCAGGGAAAGGCAACCGCCAGCTGCTCAGAGACCACAGACAGGACAAGGAGAAGGGATGCTTGTAGAATGCCATCAGAGGCAGATTTGGAAATTTGGAAGCATTTTTTGATTACGTGTGGAATTTCTGATGCTGGCATTGGTGAGGGGGGATGACAGAGGTTTAGGAGAAAGTAGAAGGTGAAAAATAAAGGCAGGGGACATGGAGTATCAGTCCATAAAGTGTGACTGAGGGAAGAAAGAGAAAAGGCCCAGAGACTTTTCTTGAAGATCCAGGAGACGAGTAGAAGGTGAAAAATAAAGGCAGGGGACATGGAGTATCAGTCCATAAAGTGTGACTGAGGAAAGAAAGAGAAAAGGCCCAGAGACTTTTCTTGAAGATCCAGGAGACCAGGGTCTGGTGGGAGCAGAGTCAGGGTCAGGAGAAACAGGTGGCCATGCTGGGCTGTAGAGATGTTGGGGGTGATGGAGTATGGACGGGTCTTCATGTGGTGGCACCTCGGAAGACCCCTCTGGCCCGAGGCACTGCCAAGGGGTGGGCTGATTGCTGGTTGACAAGGAGCTAAGGTCTGGAGTGGGTGTGATCGCTCCAGATGGCCTCTGCAGGAGAAGAGCTGCAGAGGCCTCCAGATCAGGGCCGGACTAGGGTGGGGCAGGTGAGATGCTCACCATGGGTGTGAAATTCCAGGGGTTCCAGAAAGCTCAGCAAGTATGAGAAATAAAGTTCCAAGGCAACAGTCTAAAAAATAAAAATCAATGTGAAAAAATCCAGGATGAACTAAAATAAGGAAATTGTAAATAAAAATAGTGCTGTGGACTGAATTGTGTCTCCCCCCAAATTCATAGGTTGAAGCCTTTAAGGAGGTGATTAAGGTTAAATGAGGTATAAGGGTGGAGCCCTGACCCAATAAAACCGGTGCCCTTATAAGAGGAAGAGACACCAGATGTCTCCCTCTCTGTGTCTCTCTTTCACCCTCCCTTCCCGCACCATGTGAAGATGCAGCAGGAAGGCAGCTCTGCAGAAGAGCCTCACCAGACTCAACCCACCAGCACCTCAGTCTTGGACTTCCCAGCCTCCAGAGCTGTGAGGAAACAAGTTTGCATGGAATAAGGCACC